ATTTGACTGTTAATTTTACTAACAATAAAAAGTTTAACCCTTCGATGCTGACACTTAATATTAACGAATAAACATATTGTTACGTCTCATCATTAAGCATAGGCACTTGTCATGTGAATGAATGGAACAAATAGGCAAGACTGAACAGTCCGGAATTTTGTTCTGCAGATCGCCTATTAATCACATGACATTTATCCAATAAAATTCTTTAAATCATAATGCAAAGGCAAATTTCGCTTTATTTGAAAATTATAACACTTTTGTCCGCGATACTTCAAACTCCGGGTCAAAATCATCTCGGTGTAAGAACAAAACTTTAACATTGAACTCGGAATTAATGTCGCTGAATCATATCATCACTTACTTTATCGTTTTCCCAAAGTTTTCACCTGATAAATCATCACTCTAGATCAACATACCATTGTGAATAGCTTGAGTTACTAAAAACGTTAATGATACTGACTCTTCTATAATAAAAGACGAGAGTATTAAATAGCGTCATATTGTAAAACATGCTTACAGATGCGAGTGAACACTGAGCGACATATTGTAAAAAAACCAAACCCGATTTCCCGTTCAAAATTCACTCAATTAAGGTGGTGCGACACACATCTACCAGTCAACTTGTCAACCAATTGGGCTAAAATATGGACAAATCGTGTGAAATTAACAGACTATCCCTATTACTGTTAGAGAATTTGATTTAAGCGATAAACAGAATGATAGAACATAATGTTATTGCACATTGTCTATCGCTTGATAAGTTATAAGCTCGTTTAACGCTAAATCGTACAATTTGACAATTACTCTATGTCAATTTACGATCAACACTTAAAATTAATCGATACTATATTATATAAATTCTTTAATTACATCTACTGAGTGAATTGTTTGCGAATATTTGAGAATAATTTACACTATTCTTCGGTATAGGCAGTTTTTTGTGAGAATAATCTTTATTTTTAATCACCGTGTTTATGCAAATTTTCTTATGGCAATGATAAATGATGTCTTCGAAATAAACGTCTGAAATTTCAATGGTTTCCGTATGTGAAACGGTTTTGGAGTTTTTTAGCTGTGTGCTTAGGGCCATCGTCTTATTGAAAGAACCATAATCTTATTTGCATTTTCAAACAGATTCTCAGTTGGCACAAAACACCATACATAATATATCTGTGAAAAGAAAAATTCGATTAGACCGTATACAAGAAAACGCACCCCAGGCATAAATTTTGTATGGATGTTTTGCCATAGCTTACGGGAAGATGTGTATCAAATTTATAATACACTTTTTGAGTATTTCTGAACATTGTATGCTAGTTTCGTAAAAAAAAAAATAAATTTGTTCTAATTTATTTTTTTGTATTTTACAACAAACCCAAACGACATTTTTGTTTCTATCAGTGAGAAGAGGAATGGTTTTTGAGATAGTACCATAATATTGCAAATTACAAAGTTCGTTGAGCACTGTAGACTACTGCGTTAGAGCGGGATGATGCTTATTTAACATATTCGCAAGTTATAGAGTGTTAGATAACGACGACATTGATTAGGAAAAAAATGTTCGGGCCACCAAAACTTAGTTTAGAGTCTAAAACTCTATTTTTTATTATTACATGAGTATATATTATAGAAAGCAAAATAAAAGTTAATTTAAGATAGTATCGTCATCGTGAATACCCATTTGCCCATAAGAGCTGTTAATTTTGATTAATCGAAGGCTTGTCATTGTCTGTTAGTAAAAAAGCAAACTACAAAATAATACTGTCGAATTTTTATTTGTATTACATGCGTAAGAATAAGGTGGACAAACTGTGTTAGATGACTTTTTTAATTAGCCGCGTATTTCGGAAGATAGTTGTGTTTACTTGACACGCATTTTTCTAATAAATTTTTTTGTGCATGTAACCGAGATATTTAACTCATATTTTAACTCGTAAATTATATAAAAGTGTTAAGTTAATTTTGAAGCTAGACGTTTGAATAATTACAATGTATAAGACCTTTTGGTGAATTTAATAAATATTAGCATCGCACCTTGAGACTGTAAGATAGATTTTTTTCAAGATTGATGAAAGCCATTTTTGTGTCGACGAATATTTTCTTTACATTAAACATGGTACTCGTATTCAAACTAAGCTGTCTTTTAACACATAAGATTGTATTTAGACAAAATTATATAATAAGCACATGTAATAAATTTTTTGAAGGAAATATTTTTCTCCGGTGACAGCATATTATATAAAAAACATAATATTTTAGTATTTGTAAATTATTCTGGTAAACTTTGTGTTGATCGTGATACACAGATGTTGTTACGAAAACTTTTCATGCGGGGCGTAATAAACGTTAATCAGAGTTTAGAGTTTAGTTACCTGTAATAAGTAATGATCAATGTAGCAATACCAGTTTAACTGTTGTTTGTTCAATGTATTGAGCAAACATAAAAAAGTTGTCTTAATATTTAGTCCCAAAAAGTAATATATTAGAATTACTTTTGTATTAAATAGGCGATGAAAAATATTTCGAATTAAAATAAGTAACAGGGTTGCATGAAAGATAGAATTGGAATAGGTCCAGTGGCATCCTAGAACATTCTTTATTGAACTGACAAATCTATACAAATTCTTTTCCTTACCTCGCGGGTTTAGTAAGATTGAATTAACATAGTGAATTGATTTGCTGTCGTCTGCGTAACACTGAATGGGAATCTTTACTAAAAAGTGAATTCGTAATATTAGTGGAGGATCGATCGGCAGAGGAATTGTGTAACCGCATGGCACTGGGTTCACGGGGTTAAACGCATGCGATAATCATGGGTAAGATTAAACGAAGAACTGGTTAATATCTATAAATGGGCTTGTTTGACGTCCTTCTTACTGATTTCACATTATATTACTACTACAAAGACCGTAGCATGTATTGCACAGTTTGCGTCAGGGGTTTGTAATATACATGGTTCGGTTGAAAGCAAGCGTATATCTGACAATGCAACTCACGCATACTAATAAGTTTAGTGGTTGTTACCACGAATAAGCATGGAATTTATTAAAATTTTTATGTAAATAATATAAGATGACGTTATATAATTAATTACACATACCTTTTCTAATGTTAACAAACAAATACGCAAACTTTTTTGCTTATATTAATCAGCTATCGTTAGTTGTAATGATAGAAGATTATTTAATTAACTAATTATAATTATTTATAGAACAAGCTAATCTTAAATGTAATATTTGTATTCGGTATTTATACAATATAAATTTAACTATTAACATGATATATTGTAAACCTAGCCTAATATATATTTATACACCATATAAATTTGATACAACGTGATACCAGCTTTGACATTCACCCACACAATACTTGAATGTATTTCTTATTTTCCCTTCCAATCCCCTTCTTTTGCCACCACTGCCAGTATTTTCCTAAACTCTTCAATAAACTGATTGAGTTTTTCTTTTGGCTGAACAGCCCCCTTCTGATAGACAAAGGTACATTTAAACCCGTCACCATAAAATAGTAAGTTAACCGTAATGACGGGACCAACTACCTAGATAAATTCAAAGTTAATACAATTGTATTAATCTCATAACATGGATCTAATCATCGTTCACTTACGTCTGGTGATTGAGAAAGTACGCAATCCAGTATTTTTACACTTGTATCTTTCGATTCGTTGTCTCCATGTGGCGTCCATACGCCAATATTAGGGATATCCAGCAATGCTTTTTTCCCCATTGGGTTGAGTTTTCTCTTTCTTCTAAAATACTTTCCCCACTTTTCATTTGCCTTGGAGATAAATTTTAAATGCCCAGTACGCTGAATAGATTTTTGTGAGCCTTTTGCAAGTTTCGATTTGTACATCCTCGATACGTTCCAAAACCCTTGATTAAGCTTTTTTATTGAAACCGTAAAACCGTATATACACAGGGTTTGGTCGGTTATAGATGGAGTAGCACATAGTCGGATGGATATTGGTGTTAGACTATATAACGTTTTGTCCTCGTTCAGGTCGGCGAGAGAATGGCAAGCCGCAAACAAGAGAGCTGTATGGATAATGGCATGAAGCGTGGTTTTTTGTTGTTTTGATCTTGACAGCAGTAGATTTACTTGATCCGAGTCGATCGTTACTATCTTTAACTTAGTATGAAAGTCTTTGACATCGATTTCATGACCCTCTCCTGCAGTGCAATAGTCTGACTTGGAGTTTATGAATGACGGAAATAAGGCATTACAAACCACCTTCTTCATTAAAAGTTTCACAGACAGGTTTGTGTCAAGGAGCTCGTCGCAGGGCTTAAATATCTGGGCATAAGGAACATTAACAATAGATGGGATATTACTTAACGAGCTCTTGTTGCGAATGTTCTTATGTATGCGAACAATATTATTCAGCGAATTATAGAATACTGTATTTAGACTATGAAAGCCAATTCCGTCCGTCATACTATAATGGTAACAAAATATGACACATATCTCATCATTGCGCTTAATGTTCACACCGACAATTACTCTCCATAGCAGAGTAGTCTCAATCGACAAGTCGAATACTTTATCATGTTCTCTTTCCAGTATTTGCTCCAACTTTTCGTCTGATTGTATTATATCAAAACGTACTTGTCGAGATAAATAAATTGTAGGAACATGAACAAAAAGCGGTCGACTTGTTTTTGGGTCTCTTATGCCAATCGCCAATGCTGGTTCTTTGAGAATTAGCTCGGTCAATGCGCTATAGATTATCGGTCGTAATGATTTTCTTATGTTGTCATTTAGGCCGGTTGACGATTTGATAGAAACAGTTGAAAAGAAATCTTTACACTGATAACGCACAGCTGTACAAACATTAGCGTTATATCGTAAATTATTTCTAACGAGATATAATCTCTCGAGATTGCCAAGAGGGCGAACAATCTTTATATCTGATTGTTCCATGATAATAGAACGAATGGACATGTCAAGCAGCAACTTGGTAAAAATGCCGTCAAATATATTGTTTTTATGGGAACAACATGCAAGCATTTCAAGTAATTTTGGCCGCGTGCTAGTTTAGTGAGTAAAAGTCTCGATCGTCAAAATCAAGCATAATAGGAACTTTCTCCGTTCGTCATATCTTCGCTAAGAAGCTTCTTAAATTTTAACCAAAAATGACAATGCCTAAAATGGATTTTTTTCGTCAGAAAAAGGCATTTGAACGTGCTTTTGACCAGCTTATTCGACACTGACCTTGGATCAAGCATGACCCAAACCTTCTTTTTAATAGCCATTCAATAGAAAATGCTAGTAATGGTAAATTTTATCAAAAACTATTGGGTTTCCTCTTCTTACATAAGGTTGACCCTTTAAATTGCGAAATCGGGAACGCTCACAAAAAAGTTAACTAATTGATAAACAATGGCTCACTGACCTAATGGGTCTCCTTATGCAGTAGGCAGAGGTTTTCTAAACTTATTAAAACATTTCCAATTGTATGATTACTATTACTTGTTGTGAACTTGCCGTGCTGCTAAGCTATTTGCGTCTGAAACATGCTTATTATTACATCAAGAAGAAAAAAGATGGTTGTTGTAAAAATTGGAAAGCTTTTTTAAATTTATAATCCGTATTTACAGTCTGTAGACAATTTGAGAAATGTTGCTAATATAAAATGTATTGTATGATTAGTGTAACATACCGTATTAATGTAAATTAATAATGGTTATTTTATCGCATCTTGTAGTAAAATTAACAACATATTTATATCCGTAATTTTTGCAGTGTCGTAAAAACTAAGCTTTGCACCAGCCATAATTAGATTACTTATTTCTAAAATTTTTTTTGCTCAATAGTTTTCACTACAGAAAGTAATAAATGTGACCCCCATAAATGTACGCTTCATGTAATTTATACTTGTGTTACTCGAATGTCTACAATACTTTGGCTGTTTTAATTCTACGCACAAAGAGTAAATCTAGCCCTTATAACCATAAGCATTCATCGGCTAGATTTGTGCCTTTCAAAATTAACAAAATTTTGTTTATCTCGGTTGAAAACATATCGTTGATGCCTTTAGTTTAAGTGACAGTCAAATAAATATTGGGGATACATAATGTATTGTGTTATTTAAGCTAAGGAAGTCATATTTGTCTATTATTAATGATAGACACTTAGAAACCCTATTTATTAATACTGCAAGTCTATCGGAATTTTTTATGTCTTTATATTTATTCAAACTGTTATAGTGATGCAGACTAAAAGCTTTTACGTTTTTCAATAATAGCAAATTATTAAAATGCCATAATTTTCTTAATGAATAAAATGGTCAACAAAACCGTTAGATAGCAAAACCCAAATAATCATACTACACTTTTATTGAGCCACGCAATTAATGAAATGTTAACTCTCAGTAAATGCATTCTCTCCTATAATGCACATTCTGAATTATTTTCGAGAAATTGCATTATGGAGGTTTAACTGTTTACCACAATATTCAAGTCACACAAAATTTTGCACAAGCGTAGCATTTTTATGTTCATCACAATAGTCAGATTTTTTTGCGAAAACAGCGATTATAACTTGAAAACTTCTATAACTCAGTGATTACTGGGTCTCTTCAAAACAACAAACGTGTTTACTTAGTATAACGTAGTCGCTGTACTTGGTAGAAGTCAAGAAAAAAAAGCCTACTAAGTGGTTACACCAGCGATTACAGGGCGATTATAAAACGATTACAGCGATTATGAAGCGATTATAACTAAGTATGAAACTAAGATAAAGTATTTATGGTCGGTTTTTTAACAGTATCTCACCGACACGAGTACCCCCGGGTATTCCCCTTATTCGTTTTAGGGGGTACATATCTCGATTCGTTTCGTTAAATTCCTATTGTGAATAATCCGAAAGCAAATATGTCTCATAATGTTAAAGGCAATTGTGCTACGATAAATTCTACTGGTCCCTCGATAACTCGGATTTCTCGATAAGTCGGACGGCCATGCCCACCCCGTCGTGTCCGACTTATCGAGCTTCACTGTGTATTAGTATTATAACTGTACATAATAATAAGTTAAAATGGCAAAACACTTAAACTTGCTGTAAATAGTAACATGGTTGCGTTATTGCTTACTAACGTTTTAATATTTTATCATAGGTAACTTGCGTAGCAGGCTTCTACCAAACTAGTTAGAAACGAAAAAAGCCTTATGCCTATACAAACGTGATCATCCTGACTGTTCTGCCAAAAAGGTTGATGGTAACGTTTAGTCTAGACGTCGACCGTTCAACTTTCACCAAAGTAATAGCTGAATCAGGACGATGAATTAAAATGGATACTTCTGGTGATGCTGGACAAATTGATAAAAGAAAGAAAAGAGAGTTAATGATGCCTTGAGCGAGTGTAAAGTTTAGGAAGAGAAAAAACAACAGACTTTAGACACATTTTTTAAATAATATTGTTATACTTGTCTTCAATAATGTTATTCACATGTTATCCCTCTGAATTACAATAAATATTTTTATTTTGGAAATATGTGAGCCATAACAGTAAGTAGGAAACATATCGATATTTTCAGTAGCCAAAAATGGCATACTTGATCACATGACCATTGTCTATAACCCTCTGTCTATAATCTCCCACAAACCAGCTGCCAATGGGTGTGACTATAGACAGTAGTCGACTGTAATATGCAAATGTTATACTTTGTTGCAGTATTAAACGTTATGATCCATGCGTTAGATCAAATTAATTAAACATGAAATTAATTTATCTGCTTCTCTTTTGAAGTTTGGCATACATAATCCACTAATATCGTGTGCTTAGCTAATAGAAGATAGCTAATAGAAGAGTCATCGATGTTAACAATTATTACTGTATTATGGCAACGTACTCGGTCAATTTTACTATTTCTATGCATTTGAATAAGGATAAAAATTTAACATGTTAATACTAACTAATTAGTAGATAAATTCCCGCTGTCCTGACGATATACGTGTATACAGTCTTATTCCGATGTCATTAATTGCTTCCATTATCACGTTTATAATTAAAAACTATAATGTTAATATATACTTGCGCAAACCACAATATATTTTGTTGATACAAATATATGATTACTGTTTATAGTTACCTATCGGCAAAGTTCGATAATATTAAATCTGACACAGTTTTATACCGTTTTGCAACTTTGTTCTGCAAGCAATTACTTTACAATTGCTGTAGTAAGAGAAGACGAAATTTATTCAGTAATACCCTTTATAACATCAACTATCATAAACATATCGCAAAATATTGTATGGTCCGGTGCAAAAAGGTTGATACACGAAAATCATTACCTGAATTTCTCCTATAATACAAACTCGCCAATCAAGTCATGTGAGCGTACAAATTATACAAAAGGTAAGGAATGTTTCAAACTTGAGATTTCTTAAC